GATGGCCCCGCGAGCTTGCCCGGAGGCTCTGGGTGGGATGGGACTGTTTGGCCGGTCATCTGTCACCATCAGCACCGGCGGACCCCGTATGACAGATGACCCGGGAGGCGGGGACCCCAAAGAGGACCTCGGTGGACCCCCGGGGGCGGCACCGTCTGGGTTCCCACGTGAACTGCCTCGGGGTCCACGACAAAACCCTGCGATTCTGTGCTGCCGCCTCCACTTCAGGGCAGGAGCCCGGCGGCAGAGCCTGGAAGGGCGCGGGGGTACTGCAGAGTGGGTGGAATTGGAGTCTGCAGATTTCTGGGGGTCCTCAGACTCCCCCCGTGGGCGCAGAGGTGCCGCGTCTGGCACCCAGCGTTAGCGAAGCCTCTGCCCTGCTCAGGTACTGACCCGCTTGGGAGAGATTTGGGAGAATCAGAGGTGCAGCGTCCAGGGTGTGTGTGTGTGTGTGTGTGTTGGGGCGGGGGGGGAAGGGGAGAGGGGGAGGGTCCAGGGAAAAGCCATTTCCTGCCATTGGTCCCTTGAGGCCCCGAAGAGGAACTTCCTCCTCCAGCTCCTCAGGGTGCAGAGTGCAGGCCTGTGGAGGGATGGGGGCATCTTCCCTCCCCTGACTGTGAGGGTCCTGACCTCTGGCTTGAGATTCGGGGACCCCATTTCCAGGGCACACTGCCAGTTCGCTGCGAGCTAGGACGCAGCCACTTGGCCTCCCTGGGACTCAGGTTCCCCTCGTGTAGGATGAAGGGTTGGGCTGCGAGGCCCCTCAGGCCCTGCAGCACGAATGTGGCTCATCGGCTGTTGCTCTTGCTCTCGCTGACGTTGTTTCCATGGCTGGGCCTAGACCAGCGCTGGCGTGTGTACACGTGCGGTGGGGGTGACACAGGAGTTGCCCTAAAAATTCACAAAACCGACCAGTGTGGAGCAACAGAGCGCCCACCTCCGCCAGGGAACGATCCTGGGTGCAGGTCATCCTGGACGGAGGCCAGCGTCATTTTCAGCGAGACGTCCTCCTAACCAATCGGCGCCCGGGAAACCAGGCCCAGGCCAGGCCCGTGGTCCTGGCCCGTCGGGCCATGTGCCCTCACGGATGGGGGTGCGTTTGCTGGCTCCGGGGCAGCAGTCATGTGTCATGTGTGGGGACGGGTTTGGCTTGTCAGTGCTCTGAGCAGCAGCTGGAAAGGTCCGTGTCGTGCCTCCCGCAGAGCGGGGACCACTCTGTCTTAGAACGACCTGCAGGAGGTGCCTGGTTCCGACAGGCTGATTCTCTAGACCAGGGGTCCTCAAACTACGGCCTGAGGACCACATGCAAATACAAATATTGTATTTGTTCCCGTTTTGTTTTTTTACTTCAAAATAAGATATGTGCCGTGTGCATGGGAATTTGTCATAGTTTTTTTTTTAACTATAGTCCGGCCCTCCAACGGTCTGAGGGACAGTGAACTGGCCCCCCGTTTAAAAAGTTTGAGGACCCCTGCTCTAGACACACATGCCTGCCTCTGGCGTGCAGGCAGCGTGTTGAGCGTGATTCTTGTTCCTCGTGAGGCTGCTATGGGGAGCCCTCGTGCTGCTGCGCGGAGGTGGGCCTGCCTGAGGCCCTAAGCGAGCGTCCTGCCCTCTCCTCTCCGCTCCTCCCAGGTGCCCGTGCCCGGCTCCCGCCTGTGCCTCTGGGAGGATGGCCGGGAGCTGACTGCAGATGACTTCTGGAGCGTCCCCGACAACATGGAGCTTGTGCTGCTCACCAAGGGCCAGGCCTGGCAGGGCTGTGAGTGGCGGGGCCTGGGAGCCAGGCGGGGAGCGTGGCGGGAGGCTGGCGGGCCCTGGGCGCTGAGGGAAAGGGTCTGGTGCGCATTCCTCCAAGCAGGATGTTCGAATAGTCCGTCCACGGGTGACAAGATGCGTGATCATTAGCCATCGGGGACGTGCAGACCAAACCCAGGGTGAGACTGCACCTCACCTGCTAGCGGACAGGGACTGGGGCGGCGGGGGAGGAAGTGGCCCTCACGCTCTGCCCGTGGGACGTCAAACGGTGCAGCCGCGTGGGCCAGTCTGGTGGTTCCTGGAACCGTAGACGCTCCCCAGGTGACCTGGCAGTGCTCCCCTAGGTGCGTACCCCAGAAAAGTGAAAGCATCGGCCACACAAAGGGTTATGCCAGGGGTTCCCACCGTGGGGCACACGCCCACAGGGGATCCCAGAATGAGTTAAGTGAATTTTTTGCATTTCTTAATGTTCTAGGCACCTCATAGATAGTATATAAATATATGTTGTGACATACTTACAAATTTCAGTTCTCTAGTATATGTTCTGAAACTTTACTTGCTACTTTTTCATATCGCTTCATAGTATTTTTTTTAAACAAATTCTGAGTGATTTCTTCCTCAGGACTTCAACTGTCCTTTCGTTCTTTTATTTTTCTCTTTCATGGATGCCATGTTCTTTGGAAGCTTGGTTAGACCAAGTTCATCACCTTTTAGGCTTCCTCCACGTGACTAGGGGTTCACTTTTTAAAAAAATATATATTTTATTGATTTTTTTACAGAGAGGAAGGGAGAGGGATAGAGAGTTAGAAACATCGATGAGAAACATCAATCAGCTGCCTCCTGCACACCCCCCACTAGGGATGTGCCTGCAACCGAGGTACATGCCCTTGACCGGAATTGAACCTGGGACCCTTTGGTCTGCAGGCTGACGCTCTACCCACTGAGCCAAACCAGTCAGGGCAGGGGTTCACTTTTTGAATAATAAGAATTCTATGTCACGGGGTGGGGTGGGGGGGGCATCAGGATGTTAGTGATGCTCAGATGGGGCGTGGCCAAAGGAAGGCGGGGAACCACTGGTTTATACCCAGATGTGCACAGCAGCTTTCTGCCTAATGGCCAGAAGGTGGAAACAGCTCCGTGTTCATTGGTTCAAACAGTGGGATGTTATTCTGCCGTGAAAACAATGAAGTCCTGACTCCAAAACATCACGTGGGAGGCGGTCAGCACTGTGTCAGCCCAAGGCGGTGCCCAAGGACTGATGGCTCTTCTGTTTGTCCCCCTCCTGCTGGCAGACGTGAGTGACATCAGTCGCTTCCTCAGCGTGTTCCACAGGCCGCATGTGGGGGTCATCCAGGCCGCCCGGCAGCTGCTGTTAGACGAGCAGGCGCCGCTGCGGCAGAAGCTGCTGGCCGACCTGCTGCACACGGTCAGCGAGAACATCGCGGCCGAGACGAGGGCCGAGGACCCGCCCTGGTTCGAAGGTGCCTGGGAGTTGGGGCCTGGGGAGCTGGGCGTGGGAGGGTTCCCCAGAGCCGGACACCCTGGGAAAGGCCGGATTCTACTTCAGTTCCCAAAACTAGGGGCTCCCCAAACTAGAGGCTCCCCAAACTAGGGGCTTGCAGCCTCCCTGATCATGGTGGGCTGGCCCCAGGCAGCCCAGAACGGTGGTGAAGTACATATGACATACAGCTCCCCATCCTAGCCATTGGTAAGGGCGCAGCTCGGCCATTACATGCATTCCCATTGCTGTGCAGCCCGCCCCATCATCAGCTCCAGGACTGTCCATCTTCCCACACTGCACCTCTGTCCCCACTAAACACTAACCGCCACCCGCTCCCCCCGCCCCTGGCGCCCACCCTTCCTTCCTGTCTCTGTGGACCTGACTCCTCCAGGGACCTCACCGAGGTGCAGTCAGACTACTTGCCTCTGCGACTGGCTGCTTTCCTGAGCCCCGTCTATGAGGTCTCTCCTGGCCTTAGTGGGTGAAACCCATTCCACTGTGTGGGGACCACGTGTTCTCGATCCGTTCACCCGCCCATGGACGGACACCTGGGTGGCTTTGGACTAGCCTGTTGAGCAACCCTGAGATGCTAGCATCTTGAGAAGGTGGCACCAGGCAGGAGCCCTGGCCCGGGGTGGCAGCTGAGATCCCCTCGTGGACAAAGACTCCCCACACATGCCCGGCAGGACATTTCTCAGACGAAGCCCTGACCCCCCACCTCCTGGCCCCCCTCCCGCCCAGGAAGGCAGGGATGCAGGG